GTTTTGATCGCCACGTCACGCCAAACGATGCGCCCGCAACGTGGCGCAAGCCCGAAGCGAGGCGGCGCCTCACCATTCTACGTAATTCACGTCATACTGAAGGAAGACACATGAGTTGATATCAAGGGTATATGTTATTTCGAGAAAATCCATAGAGAAGGAAGGGAGTTATGATTTTTCGAAAAATCGGCAAAAGAAATTTTGAAATGACCTAATATACAGGGTGTCCGTAAAGTATGTATACACTGTTTGGTCGTTAATATCTCTTTTCCCAAGAAGTCTTTTGCCTTGCTTTAGGTACCATTTTGTAGAGCTGGCTTCAATTTAGATTTACAGTATAGAGCGGATCGTTCATCTTCCTCTTTTATTGTAGGATTACGGTAGAAAGTTGAAAGAGGGTTTTAGGCCATGAAAGGATATTTTGCCTCAGAAAGGAGACAAAACAGCTTGAAAACTTTTACACTAGACTAATTAGAGTTGTTGATTATAACTGCAAAGTTCCCCATTTGATGATGCTTCATTGAAGAGTTATGCCAGGTAAGAGGTAGCGGCCATTTTCTCAATGTTCCTAAAAAGTGCGGTTGCACCGTTTAGAAAGCTTCGCAATCTTGTGAGTAGTTGAGTATTAAACTCAGCGTCCATAAAAACCCTGTTACACAAGTTTTCAGATTTTTTTAAAAAATTTTGAAACGGGAGCTTTTTCCACATTGACACCATATGTTCAAAGTTTCTACCGTAATCCTACAATAAAAGAGGAAGATGAACGATCCGCTCTATACTGTACATCTAAAAGTGTATACATACTTTACGGACACCCTGTATTTACCGTTATCCACGTTGAATTTGGAATTTTGTGAAACTATCGCTCCTAGAAAGCTGAAAATTGTGGTTACACTTCAAGGCTTACTATAGAATTACCTACGTAGGAGCAGCTCAGCATCTCTTTGAAAAAGAACATGCCAGTTTCGTCCTCAATTTCTAGAAACGAAAAAATACAGTCAGGGTGCTTATGACTGTTGGATGAGAAGTGTATATGCGTAAGAATTAGACATTCCATGAAATTTGTTAGGCATAGCTTTGAATTTTCTTCGAGTTGCCGGGTTTTGAAAGTTTTTAGAGCTCGATTTGTTACTCGACGCAGAATGAACTTCATGCAGATGTCTGGGAACCATGTAGAAATAATAATAATCACAGTGATGATGGTAATAATTTGACTACTGATGACAGCAATGGCACTATTTGATTCTGTTGTTCTTGACGATAATGCAAACTATGCTGGGCCATAGGTTATCCCGATGACAGTGTCGTTTGCGCCATTGCTCTGATCAGGGCTCGGCACGAGGTGGCTTACAAGCAAGCTGGGTATCGTTTTTGGGATGAAAAGCAAAGGGGGTTTCGTTTTTGTGACCGAAGACACACGCAAAATTGGCGATTTGGCGACGTTTTTTTTTAGTCGACGTTTCGTTTTTTGGAGGATTTTTAGGGGAAATGGTGGGGGGTCAAAGGGGACTTCGTAAAAATACCCAAAAGTCAAGGGGGACTTCGTTTTTCGCATTTTCATCTAGCCACCTCGTGCCGAGCCTTGGCTCTGATTTAAGCTCGCCTCTCTCGAAGCTTGCGGCGCGTCCGCGGAGGCATTCTCTACGCTTGACAGCTCCCAGTCGTCGCCAGGTACGGGGATAGCAAATGTTCGTAGACGCATCGCAAGCTCCAAGCGAAGTGACAGCGCAAATTTGAGCCGCTGGTGCAAACGACACAGTGGATTGATGCTGCAAGGACATATTTGTTTTCATTTCCACTCTACTATTCTGTGATCTAAATCAGATCTGAATGATTAGGCTTGTTGTACTACATGAACAATCAAAAGACGATCAGAATCATTTTATTTACGTAGATACCAGTTATCAACAGATCTACAAAAGGTATGATTATATAACAAAAATCCAAACCAGTTCCACGTACAGCATTGCCCAATCAATGGCTGCATCCATGGCAAGATATAAGACAGTTTCTTTTGTTTGGTTAAACAATGGTGGAGATAATGGGGTTCAGACTGCTATCGTAATCGAATAGGTTTCTTATTTCTATAGAATAGCATGGTTTTATTTCTGAAGCGTACTACTTCGGGGATAATTCATTTGATTGGTTTTGGCACCAAAACAAAGGGAAGTTTGTTTGTAATTTATACTGATCAGGCTTTTAAAAAATGTCAGTCATGCAACAGTTTTGACGATATATATTCTTGGATAATCGCCGGGGCTAGCGGCCATGCGATTAGCAAGCGGGCACGGAAAAATAGTTCGCTTCCTGCAATCCGCTTGCAGATATTGGAAGAATGTTGGCAATTTTTAGACGAAAACTTGGAGAACAATCGTGCTTTTTTCATATTAGGTCGTTCCAAAAGTAATGTCGCTTTTTTCAAATGAACGCCACATTTCATGGAATCAAGATTTTTAAGAGATCTTAGAAGCATTCGATGCAGCATTTCATCCTCTTTCTAAAGGTTGTAATCTCTTTGCATAATTTTCATTGAGCTTCCGAAAAATTAGCAAAATCTGCAACTCATGTTTTTTGCCATGGTCAAGTTCGGCAATTTTTTAAAATTTTTGTGCCTATTCTCCGAAGAAGTACAAGTGGCAGGTAAATAGAGCAAACTATATAGGACACAGAGTAATTTTTTCTTTTCCTTAGCTTGCTTCTTAGAGTTTCTGGAGTCAGTTTTAAAATGCCATCAAATTCCATACTTGGTCAACTCAAACCTCACAGAACAACAACCGGCAAGCAACTCGGGTGTCATTTGACGCAGCTTTTTCTCCTCTTTTTACAAGTTGTTTTTGCTTTCCGATTCATCAAGTTTTCCGAGATAAAATCATCATAATTCAGGTTTTCCAGAGCGCCTCCGGCTGTACCCGGAATTTTCGAAAGTTGCTAATCTGAAGCGGTAAACGCTCATTTGCATTGTAAAATTAGGGGTAAAACCATAATCCATTTTTGTAAGTTTCAAAATCTAACGATCTTGGTGTTTTATGCATTTGTGTCTGAGACGAGCCTGCTAAAATTTGGTGGTTCCATCAAAAAATCTATACAGAAATTATGACGAGCTTTGAAAAGTAAAAAAAATTGTGCTGTTTCCCGTAGAGTTTGCTCTATCCATATATAACTTGGACTCCTTCCGGGGGTTGTTATAAAAATTTGAAAAAATTGTGAAACTTGACCTTCTCAAAAAGGAGGAGCCGCAAATTCCGATAATTTTCCTAGAGGTTATTAAATTTTGCGCGGTAGTTACATAACCATTAGAAAGAGAATGAAATGCTGCATAAAATGCTACCAGAATCTCTTACACATCTTTGTTCCACGATATGTGGCGTACGTTTGAAAAAAGCGACATTACTTTCGGAACGACCTAATAGATTAGTTGCGGCGCAGTGGTCGCATTCTCGCGGACTTTACGCGAGAATATGTAAAATTATTGAGGGCCGCACTATTCTTTGTGGAGGACCGCAAAGACCGTAGATATACCTTCCGGGTAATTTAACCATCGATGGCACCTCTGCCATCTAGAGTCTTTTAGCTCGGCGTATGCCCGAAACTGCGTAAAAAGAATCGCGCTCGCTGAAATAAATTATTTGACGAGCGCATGCAAAGCAGAAAACGTATGCTGTCCCCTGGGAGAACATGCAATAGTAAAAAAATACCGCTCGCTGGGGGTTTGGCAACGCCCCAGAATTCTGCTGACCGCTTGCAAGAAAGCGCGAGTTTGCGCTTCGCCCGCCCCCAGCCATTATCTGAGTGTGCCTTGCTAACAAACATCTGACGGTTAGAGTTAATTATTACCACTTCGAAATGAATATCGCACCAGTGAAGTACACAAGGAGATATCCTCTTCTCCAGTTTCAATCTGCTTTCTACAATTAATCTATCAACTGCTATCATCACATATATTCCTTTTCTAGGCACTTTGGCGATGGTCTAGAGCAGACCTACAAGTCAAATAGCGTGGATGGAGCATCGCGGTTTTATCCATTTTCATGAGTCTCTTTTCTCTCTTTTTGTGCTCAGAAATGTCCATACGGATAATTTTACGGTTGAGTTCGAACAAAGCCAATCATGTCGCAACTTGAAGGAGTTCGGAGTTTTTTCCAAATTTTTAATAAAGAGATGCACCCTCGACTGTACCGTCTTGATTTATCATGACCGCTTGCAAACGCTGGAACCGGAATCACTTGTTTGCAGAAGAATTAAATTTGATGTTTGTGCTTTGAGATTTCAAAACGAAAAGTCAAACTGTTTTTCCAACAACTACCGGTCTTTATGCCCGCTTTGACAGACGCGGTGGTTTCAACTCGTACCCAAAAGGGAGAAGCATGCAAACTTGTTATTCAATCAAATTTTTTGTCAAACGACTGATGGTGCGTACCGCGCGGAATTTTCAGTGTTGTTAGCTGAGACTTTTAGAATTGAGGTATCTCTCTACTGAGCTCCTACTTATCGACCGACTATATATTAACTTTGCTTTATGATCTTTTCTTTCGTACAAGCTCTTTGTTTTCAATCCGTTCCAGGGTTAATTGGGGCTGGCTTGTCACCCATTTTCGGATAAACAACAGCACTGCTTTTTGAAACCGTAAACAGTGCTCCAAAATGCGTTTGACTAGAATAAGACAAGCGTATCAACATTGGGGGTTTCGTGGTGGATACCTGGTATGAGTTAATCGCCGGCGTTTGAATAGCTTAGAAAAGTGGCAGTGGCATTCAATCACATGCTTTCTCTTAATGTTAGCCACAGAATTTTCCTTTCTCAACATCTGAGGTAGTGGTCCAATAATTACTATCGTCTCTACTGTCCGACCGAAGATATTAGGCTAGTCTATCTTATACTAGCAATATTTTAACCCATACTGCTTTTGACACACACGCGCTTTAGCTAAAGATAAAGGTGAAAAATTGTCAACCAAGTTAACGCTGTAATTATTTTCTCAACGACTAATATCTTAATTAAATATGTGAAAATCCTTTATTTAATGCATCATTGAAGAACCTTCTACAAATTGTTTACGAGGCATTTACATTCTTCCTTTCCTTTATGCTTGATGCAGATAGGGCGGGCCTGCTCAGTTATCTGCAAAGATGCAATTAATTTTAGGTCGTCCCAAGTTTTGTCGCTTTTTTCAAACGACAATCAAATTAAGTACAAGTGTTGACGTTTCAAGCACAATCCTGTACAAGCTTTTGATAATTGCAAAAATTCTTCACGCGGGATTTTTATGTGTTCAGAATTCGGCTAATCTTTGAAAATTGTATTCCAACGTTTTGGGATTAAGTATATTACAGACAGAGCAAATCTTGAAATATACGGTGGTGTTTTTAGGTTTGTTGATTTGCTGCGTTTAATTCCGAAAAGTCATTTCTTCGAAGATCTCAATTCTACGTAATGGCTTTTTGGATTTTTCGGTACTCCTATGCGCCAAAAGTTATCCAAAATCACGGTTCTTTTCAAATAAGTAATTATCACAGGCTTGATAAACGTGACCAATGTAATACGAAATGAGTCTAATGTAGCCAAAGGTTGAATCTACATAATGGCAACAGTTTTCGGAAATTGTAGAAAAATTCTTCTTTGAATCCGAGGAAGATTTGATGTTACCGGTAAACTGCTCAAAGAGCTATATCGACAACGTCGCAGAGATAGCTAAAGATAGAAGATAAAAATCTGAAACGAACAATGCCTAAGACGTCCCATAGGTAGGTGTTCTGTGAGTTTCAGTGGCGGACGGAAAAAAAACTGACAAAACTTTCAGGATTTTTTGAACAAGCGGCACATTCCGCGGAATGCTCATGTTCTTTCAAAAGATCGTCTCAATATTGCAGTTCAACAAACGAGCTTCCGGAAAATTACCAAAAACCGCGACCCATGGTTTTTACCAAGGTCAAGTTTTGCATTTTTAAAATTTGCACGGATTATCTGAAGAAGTCCAAGTGTCGGGTAGATAGAACAAACCCCAGGGTACAGAACTATTTCGTTTTTCTTCCCTATAACTCGCATCAATTTTTGACAAAAATTTTAACAACATCATCGAATTTTAGCAGACCTTAATCAGAGCAGATTCGTCAAACACCAATAAATTCCAGTAATTTTTAATACTTTTGAAAGTAGATTGAAATCCAGCTAAAATTTTCTATTTTTACAAAACAAATAAGCGTTCAGGAGTTCGAAATGTCGATCTTGAGTTTTCCGGCTTACAGCATTGAGCGCCTTCAGAAATATGAAGTTGATTCAAACTCCCAAGACTTTACGACAACATTTATCAGGAATAGGAAAAATGTTGATTTTGTTAATTTCGAAAAGTAAGCTACCGTGCCATCACTACAATGATTTACAAAGATTGTACTGATTCTAATGAGCTTAACCATGGTGGAAACTAAAGGTCTCAGTTTACAGTAGTTTTCTAAGAGCTCTTTCGTTGGACTGCAAAATTGGGATGATTGTTCAAAAGCGCATGAAAAACTGCGCCAAATATTGCCAAAATCTTTTAAAAACCTTTCTCCTGCGGAATGTGGCACAAAAAAGCACTTCTGGGATGACCTAATGTACAAGATGTCCCGAAAATGTGGAACTGTTTGTTCGTTAATAACTCCCTTGCTTTCACGTCTTTCGCCGAGTTTCAGGCGCCATTCTGTACAGCGAGATTCAACGTAGATTTACAGTATGGAGCGAATCACCGACCTTTTCATTAATGTAGAATTACGATAAGAACTTCCAGCATGTGAAACCATTTGAAATATGCCATTTGGCAAAATCTTCTTCGAAAAATCTAAACGTGTACTGGGTTTTGGCGCCCACTACACAACTTTTCACAAGTGTCTTCAGCTTTTTTTTTGACAGCGTAATCACATTTCTGAACAAATGTTAGGAATTCATATATTACGGTCCATTTGGGATAACTTTGAGAAAAGCATCATAGTAAAGTGGAAATTTCATATTCGAAAATTAGCGGCTTCCATTACCATAGAAGGGTTTTTGGCTTGTTTGATTTTGTTCCGAGGCAGAATATGACCTTTAACGGCATAAAATTCTTGTTGAAGTTCCTACCGTAATTCTGCAGTATGAAGAGCGATCGATGATTCGCTTCATAGTGTAGATTTAAGTTGAACCTAGCTCCACAGAATGATCTCAAGCTTGGCGGAGGACATGAAAGCAAGGGAGTTTTAACGATCAAACAGTATTCACATTTTTTGGGACAGCCTTTATGTGAAGAACAATCACACTGCTAAGAATCAAAATAATATACTTGCTCACCGATTTACACTTTTTCACGCAAGGTAATTCACATCGAACAAGCTGTGGCCTTTTCTGGGCTTCTAGTAGATTGATGAGCAGCAAAATAATAAGAATGAATCTCATCTTTGAAGAGTTGATTGTGGTTGCAGAATCAGCAAAATAGCAGAAGCTTTTGGAACTGAACGCTTTTTGTATGCTTGCGTATGAGCAACGTCAGTAGTAATGAGGAACAAGCTGAAACTAAATGCCTATCAATATTCTTGCATTCAAGAAGTCTTTTAGCAAGGAGCTTGGTGCTCTTAGCCCTGCTGTTGGCTGCTTTCTAAAACTTTGAGTGATGCTTAATGTGAAATTAATAAAAGGTGACAGCGTGGCAATACATTTGTAAAACAATGAGGAATATAATTATAGCCTTTCAACATTCTTTTTCTATCGGCGCAACCATTACGTCAAAGTTTGCGCCACGTTTGGTTCCAAAACTCGAAATGGCCAAATCGATCGGAAGATCGCATGCAAGGCCCTCGTGTTGCTGATGCGCAATATCTACGCATAGGGTGTATGTCGAAAGGCGCGCGTTCCCTAAGCCTTCATTTCCAGATTAGATCAGTCCCCTACAACAGCGAGGTTTCTAGATTCCAAGACTTTTGGTACTACATCAGTAAGCCTGATGGAGGATAACCAGTTGAAATCGGAAAGTATTGCACTAAATTCGAACTCATTTCTTGCTTCTCCCAGTTAATGACAATGGGTGGGGGAACGAAAGCCGCCAGGTCCAGCCGCCTCCGCGGACTGCTGGTCCTGGAACGACATGCAACAACGTTGCGAAAGGACCAGCTGGCCGCGAAAGGCGGCTGGACCTGGCGGCTTTCGTTCCCCCGCCCAATGACAATCGATCAATACGCGCCATTCGACTGTCTCCCTCTATGCATAAGGGGACTACGTAGTTGATGAAGACAGCGGAATACAAATTTTATCGTTTTCCTGGTACCCTATTTTCAGGTGTATGAGCCGCACCCTTTTCACTCTAAAGGCGCACACGTCAAAAGACTGCCTGTTACGATGGAGCGCGTTAAGTGAGAGCAATTTGCGAGAAAGCGACCGCTTCGCGAGGCACATGCGCGGCGGCACGCCTGGGTCTGCTCACGTTTAGAGCAAAAAGGGTGCGGCTTATTTATACACCTGAAAATAGGGTAGTTGTTTCACTTTTGTAAAAAATCTCTCTCTCTCTCTCTGAGTAGGCCTTGATGAGCAACTGTCGAGCAAGAAAGTTAAAATTACGTTTGGACATTTGCAAATAGTCTGATACATGTTGAAAAAAAAATTCAGTGATGGTGTATACACCCACGTGTCGTGGATAGCCTTCCTCGACAGATCCTTTTTGGTCCACGTAAATGGCCTTTTTTACCCCGAAAAAGATGCACCACACGGCTTTGGGCTTTACCTCCTGTTGTTCAGTATTTACACTTACGAGCTTCCTACAGTTCCTCAGCGAAGAGGTCTCTTGCAGCGCTTTTGCGGATGATTTAAAGCTGTATGCAGTTGTGTAGGATGATAGATCAGTTGCAAAAGGCGCTTAAAGGCAGTGTCCCGGTAGATTTTGCATTTCCATCTTTTTGCACGTTTTGGGCCTTTCCGACCCGTAGACCCCGAATCTGTGCTTTAAAATGGGTGAAAAGACCTTTTTCGGGGCGTTTACCCAATTTCCGAAAGGATTTCCGAAATTCTCGGACGAGAATTTCAGTGGAGTTTGGAGAACGGTAAACGAAGCCGTCCGAGCGCGCGCCGATAAGGGTTACGCGGGCCGGTTTAGGGGCTATTCTCAGCCCAAGGGGAACATCAACCAGCCAGACTGCTCCTGGAGGTCAGCGGGATGACCAGGAATCCCACCATAGCAATATCCCCCAGGGCGCGAATTTGCTGGGACACTGCCTTTAATGAGGTTTACAAATCGCAAGAGTTGTGTATTCCTATTTTTAAAGAGAAAGCTAGAGTGATATGTATTGAACGAATGACCTCTAATCCAATTTTTAGGTGCCCTACTTGGAGAACGATTCTATAAGACGTCGAGCTTCATGGTTAGTAAAGACATTCTTTTAGGGTTCGCTGCAAGTTGGCAGCAGTTAGAGCCGTAAGTCGGTATACAACTTCTTTAGCGCCTTCGCAGTTAAAGACACAATCGTTTTGAAAGCTTACAAAACATTTATGAGGCCTATGGTGGAACGAAGGCACAGTTATGTTTTATTCATCTGACAATCCCCGTCACGGAAAGCCCATAGTCCGGTTCTCTGGAACGGAGATTGGATAGGCGGGCACGGACATTACTGGAGCGGGGCGTGCCAACTTGGGTTTTCATGCCTCTTTGCTATTCCAAAGCGACATTTTGCGCCGTGATTTTGGGCATTGGCTTGATAGGGGCTTCTATATCGTAAGCTGCCGAAATCAAGACCCCTACTAGGGTGGACGGTGCCTTTAATCTGCAAAGCGGTGCGAGCGCAGAGCAACCACCTCCTCTTCGTCCGGAATTAGGTAACAGATTTAGTGAGTAATGGGTCTTCTTCTTTGCTAAATTCGGCCATCGTCTTCCTTCAAATAAGGCTGTAAGATTGCAAAAAATTTGGGAACATTCCGCAAATTTCTTTAGAGGGCGCGGATGAGAAAAATTCCCGTCAATCGGTCACATTACCGTAGTTCGTTTCGCGGCATATCAGCGCTTGACCAATCCCGGGTGATATCCATCTTAAAGGGATTTGCGTGCGGAGGAATCGATGAGAGCAGTCTGAACGCCCTACATCTGAGTAGACTTTCCTCTTAAAATTGTGTGCTTACACTGCAAGTGACACGCGGTAAATTGCGCGTGAACAAACAACTGCGCCGGCCAAATGCGCGCTCCCGCCTGAATTCGCCCGAAGCCATAGAAAAAGTTATTAAAGACGAGTGAAGACAGCGTGCGTCGACTCAATAATAACCCTAACAATGAGGGAAGATCTCTTTGTCTGTGTTCTTTGTGTACCATTTGATTCAACTGGCTTGGCATCGGCAAAGGCGGGGTTTTGAGACCTAATTAAGGCTAGGTAATGATCAGAGAGCACTCGCGCGAGAGAGAGCAGGTGCGTCGCGGGCGCGAGCGGCCTCAATTGAATCACAAACCCCGCCCTAATGGTGCCAAGCCAGTTGAATCAAAGGTTACGTCTGTCTGTCATAATCGTAGAGGTTTCAGCAGAAATCTTGAGCTTTTAAACATAGCACTCTATCAGTATGAAGGCCCACTATGCAAAATTTCGAGCAATTTCGACGCGTGGAATCCTACAAAATTAGCGTCATACAGATTTAGTCTTCTTTGAGCACTCAAAACTGGATCCGTACGTGGATGCATTACGAGTTCATGGCTTTGCGCGATGTATAGTCAAGCCGTCGACTTTAGCCCCAAAAGGAAACCAAGAGTATGTTTTCGTGCGAAAATAGCATCAAAAAGTTCAATAGAGTAATTCCTTGATTTTTGTATTTATATATGCATATTATATATGTACATTTTTGTTCATGTAGTAGAACCAGTGCGATCCACTGCGAAGCACTGGTGACGCATTAGTGTGTACTACATAGGTTGTACCAACAGTTCCTTTTGGATAAACCTTGCAGTTTTTGCTATCCTAGCAAACTTAGGGTAGCATTCCACAGAGCAAAGCAAGCTCTTACAAGATGGCTTCCAAACATTCAAGCAAACTTTAATTTGAAATCTGAAACAAAATATAAAGAATTTTAATCAATCAAAAAATCGAATTCCAGACATGGAATTCCTAAGGGCCGCAAATTTGCTCAAGCATGTTTTCTCCACATCGCACGTCCATGTGTCTTTACGAGAAACAAAAATAGGTCAAAAATGAGAATGTGTCGTGTTTTCGGTCCCTTTTTGGGCAAACTGCGCCCACGCTCTTGCCTCCCCCCCCCCCCTCCCTCACAAAAAACTTTGCTCGTTCTCACAATCGCAACCGCATAGAAATGCTCGTAGATGACTGGAGAATCTCAAAATAACCTTAAATCTAACTCCGCCCCTCGTTATGCAGGGCTCCACCCGTCGCCAGCATGCCTCCTTTTCAAATGTGCCGAAGTTTGCACGAATTCGTGAATTTTGTGCAAATTCCGGCATTTCTGAAATGTAAGCGAGCTTGCCACAAGTGGGCGGAGCCCCGCCCACTTGAATTCTTGAATTCTCACGCATAGATGCATGTATACATACATGCAGCCAGCTTGAAAATGCTCGGAAAAAATTTGTCCACAGGGATAGACGTCAAAAAAAAACAGCTTGTCGTCAAAGTGTTAATCATGAAAAGCCACCAAACTGTGCATACGAGTGTCTGATGTAGAGGGAGTGTGGGTGAGCAAGTCAAGGTTACCTAGGAACCTTTTGGAAGCAGATACAATTTTTTAAAAATTTGAGGTTTTTGGTGGCTTTTGACTTGGCCCCGAATTTTACGAAAATTAACTTGCCGCAAATGTTCAAATTTTTTCTGTGGGGCTTGCTTTGGTTAACCGTTTGGTGCCCATTTACTCTCATTCGTGCTCACCCTACCGCGATATCTTATGATAAAACAGGATGTTATTCATTATTTCTCGGACGACTTGATAGGAGGTTGAAACACAAGTTTTGCACCAAAGATTTTAAGTCAAAATTACTTAGCGCAGCATTTCGATCTGTGAAGTGTTTTTTCGTTGTATAGAAATTACGCAGTATTCTGTTGTACACCTTAGATTTTGATTTAAGCAGTCTAAAAACGCGATAACGTAATTTCACTTTGACGTGTTAGATCATTTTGGAAAATTTATATTTGTAAATGCAGTAAGAACCTTAAGAAGCAGCAAACCTCTTGCAATGCAGCGCACATTCACTTATACTCATATCACAAACGGGCAGCAAAATAAGGATCAACAAACAAAAAAGATTTTTTCTGACACCTTGTCTGTTGCAATTCATAACTTCCTTCATAGTTTATTAGCATGAATGATAAGTGTCTTACCTTGTAGCCTCAAGCCAATAGTACAAAACACGATAAAAAGAGTGCGGAGAAAAAAAATACGCGAGGAGGAAAAAACTCAAAATTTAAAAGTGTCAGTTTTCAACATTTTTCCAGTACGCCTCAAATCCCTAAATACAGAATTTTCTGATTTTTTGCGTAGTGAACAGCCGAATGCTTTCGGAGAATTGTCAACAGGATGCC